GAGACGGGGTGCAACATCTGGGCGTGGAAGGTGGGGCAGGGGCCTGGGACCCAGCCACCGGCCCCTCTAGTCCTGGGATTCCACTGGGCTGGATTTTACAGAAGAAAATCGCCCTTTAATACGGTCCATAGGCCCCCGCTCCCTACCCTTCTGGCTCTTCCCTTCCTCTGGAAGGCATTTACGGAGAACCGGGGTCACAGACATAGGTGAGGCAAAGGGGCAGGCCAGGGACTCCACACCCAAGTGCGAGCTCCAGCCCTCTGCACCTTGGGCAGCCAGAGTGGAGGCTCTTAATTATTAGCACTTTCCACATCAAGGGTGGATTTTAGGGGAACACGATTGTATATAATACACCTAATAACCCTGGGGCGGGTATTACGGCCCCATTTTATGGATGGATAAATCAAGGCTCAGAGACATTTAGTGGTTGCTCAAAGTCACACAGTCAGAGAGACTGGGGCAGAGACCGGAACCCAGGGCTGCCTGCCCCCAGAACCCTTGCTCTTTCTGCTCCAGCTCCCAGAAACAGGGGTCTTTCCCCTTCTGGCCTTAACTGACCAGAGCTGGCTGTCCCTGGAGGCCACCTAGCAGCCCTGGGAACACAGGCTCGGCCAGCATGACTGCGGCCACGCCCCACAACCCTCATGGTGGTAGCTTGAAAACTGTGTAGGGCGATTTGCAGTCTGGAGGCAGCAGGACCACAGGGATATTTTAAAGATGGGGAAAGTGGGACTCAGGAAAAGTGATTTGTCCAGGAGGATGACAAACAGTCATCCCCGGCAAAGCAGGGATTGGTTCACTCACTCACTCGTTCACTCACTCATTCATTCAGCAACACATTTGTGAGCACCTACTATATACCAGGGATCGAGTTGAGCACAGGGGATAACAAGATGATGAAAGAACATTCTTGGGGGAGACAGTCATCCCCCGGAGGGATGGCAGGAAGGACAGGCAGGGCCTTGCAGGCCCCCAGAAGGATCTTGGGCCAGGAGTTCTCCCTCCTACCTGCACTTTAGAACCACCTGTGGGGCTTCAAGAAACACGCCAATGCCTGGGCTGGCCCAGCTGAATGCGGTCAAATCCCTGGCTGCGAGCAGGCGTCAGTGTACATTAAGGCCCCCCAGGGGATTGTGACGTGCGCCCCCATGGAGATGAGCTGCGCTGGACAGTGGGGGCTGCTGAATAGTTTTACGGGGACCGCGAAGGGGTCAGGTGTGTGCTTTGGAAACATCCCCAGGAGCAGGGGACAGCCCGCTGGAGCCCAGGGGTGCAGGAGGGAGGGACAGGAGGTTGGGGAAGACCCTAGTCCTATAGGCTTTGGCCGGGGGCTCTGTCACCATGAACCACGCAGAGAAGGAGCCAGAACGGGTGACTCAGGTGGAGGGGCAGACTCAGGCCTAGTAGGGGCAGGGTGGGCACAGCTCCTGGGGTGCGAGGAGAATAACGGAAGGGACAGTGGGGGGCTCCTGGCCACCCTAGACCTTCTCATCTCTGCCCTCTGCCCTCGACCCCACGGCAGGCCCCACCAGCAACGCGCTGCAGAAGGTGGACGTGCAGTTGATCCCGCAGGACCTGTGCAGCGAGGCCTACCGCTATCAGGTGACACCACGCATGCTGTGCGCCGGCTACCGCAAGGGCAAGAAGGACGCCTGCCAGGTGACTCCCCTGAGGTGTGGGCGAGAGGAGGGAGGGTGACACTCACATCACCCAGGGCCTGGCCCTTCACTCACATCTGCCTGCTGAAGCCTCCCAGCCTGCCAGCCAGGTGGCGATGGCCGTCCCCACTTTACAAAAGAGGAGACGGAGGCTCAGAGAGGATCAGGGCTTTGCCCAAGGTTGCAGGGCCACAGATCAGAAGAGAACCTGTGGTGGGCAGGTCTTAGGCCCAAACCCGGTTCTGCTTCATGCCCACCCTGGCACTTGGCCCAGGGTGACACAGCAAAGTGGACGGGGGGAGGAAGGGAGGGTGTCAGCCACAGAAGGAAGGCAGAGGTAGAGCAGGGGCGTGGGGACATGCGGACGCACTTCTGCGAGAGCCAGGACACGCTGGGGCCAGGCGGGGCTGGTCTGGGCTCTCTCCATTTAGCAGGTGCGGGGAAAGCAGAGCTTCAAAAGAGGACGTGACTTTCTTGCACCCAGCAAATTCCCAACAGTCAGGACTGGAGCCCCCACGTCCCCTTGTCTGGAAGGGGCGGTTCCCTTGCCCTAATGCAGCCCTGTCTCCTCTCTCTCCCTTTCAGGGTGACTCGGGTGGTCCGCTGGTGTGCAAGGCACCCAGTGGCCGCTGGTTCCTGGCAGGACTGGTCAGCTGGGGCCTGGGCTGTGGCCGGCCCAACTACTTTGGCGTCTACACCCGCATCACAGGTGTGATCGGCTGGATCCAGCAGGTGCTCACCTGAGGAGCTGTCTCTGGACAGGCGGGCCTACCTGCTGGGCTCAGAGCTCACGCACCAGGCAGGGGCAGACAGGCCCTATGGAGGCAGGAGGTGGCATCCTGTCCCCACCCTGCTCCCTGAAGTCTGCTGCAGTGACGGCAGGAGGAGGGAGCAGGGCCCTCCACTGGTGGTCGAGATGTCCTACGGACCCAGGCCCACCAGTCCCGGCTGGAGGGGTTCACATCCAGCGCTTCTGTCTCCCAATCTCTCTCCTCCCTCCCCTTCCTGCGCTGCCTTCCGGGGAGGTGGTTCGACAGTGCTGATGCTGGCGTCCAGGTCCCCAGCGCAGAGGCTGCTGGGGCAGCCCGGGCCGGAGAGCAGACGCCCGCCTATGGAGCCCCGGGAATAACTTGGGAGGTGGGGGTGGAAGGTGCCCCATAGAGGGGACCCTCAGAGCCCTGGAGACTGCTGGGTGGGCCAGCTGCCACCGTAAGCCAAAGGGTGGGGAAGCCCTGGCTCCAGGGTACCTGCCCCACCCCTACCTGACCTCTGGGCCTTCACCGCCCACTCTCCCCTGGCAGTGAGATGAGCCCAGCCGCCCTGGGGAATAAAGCCGCCTGACCCACAGCTCTGCTGCTGGAGTTTCAGTGGGGACCCGGCACCAGCCTCATGCCCTTGACTGAAGCAGACCCTGCCTTCTGCTCAGCCTATTCCACCGGTGTCCAGAAGGCTGGGTGGGGTCAGTAGAGGCAGGCGTGGCCACTGAGAGCTGCAGCCTCCAGGGCAGCTACCCAGATCCCAGGAGAAACCCCAGGAAGGCAATGGTTTGGGATCCTCAGGTCAGAGTGAGGGACCGGTCCAGTGATGGGCTCTTTCTGGAACCTTGGGAGGAAACGGGCTCAGAGAGGGGCAAGGGCGTCCTCATGACGGCACTGGGGGTTAGGAGTGGAGGCAGTGTGGACCTCCTGGCTCCCTCCAGCCTGACACTCGCTCCCTCTGCATTCTTTGAGTCGTCTACTGAACAAGCATTTCATGGGCTCCCACTGTGCCAAGGACTGTTTAGGGCCACGGATTTGAACACAACTTGGCCCCTGATCTCAGGAGCAGGGGGAGATGAGCAAGCAGAGGGGGGTTTGGGGGGCACCAGGAATGTCAGGGAAGGCTGCCTGGAGGATGTGAGACTTGAGCTGGGCTTCACAGGTGGCCAAGGCGGGGAAGGGCATTCCAGACAGGAGAAGAGCATGTGCGAGGCGCAGAGTCCCAAAAGAACGTGGCATATTAGGGGAGAGCAGGTCATGTGTTTGTTAGAGCAGACGTCGGGAGGGGAAGGACTGAAGAGGAATTCAGAGGGGCAGACTGAGGCTGGATGACAAGAAGCCTGGAGCTGAGCTGAGGACTGGACCCTGAGTGCTGCGGGGAGCCACGGAAGGCTCTAGCAGAGGAGTGACACAGTGGATTCTTATCTCAGGACCACCCACGGACACCAGTGTGGAGGGGGCTGCGGGCAGAGGCCGTCAGGGAGGAGAGGATGGGGCCCGGACCGAGCTGCGCGGTGGGACGGACTGGAGGCTTCTCAGGACGCGGGGTCACCAGGACCTACGGGGGCAGTGGCGATGGAGCCAGGAGGCCAGCTGGAGGCGGGGTGTGGACCACTCTTTCTTGAAGCTTAGCTGGGAGAAGGAAGAGAGTGTCTCCGAGGGGGACCCAGACCGGAGAGGGGAGCTGGGACCTGTGTGGGGGTGGATTTGGTGGAAGGGCAGTGGGGACAGGGAGAGCCCCAGCTGGGTCCTGCCCAGAAGGGATGGGCCAGCTTGGCGGGAAGGGGTGTGCAGGACGCTAAAGCTGCTCCTAGTTCTCAGTGGGGTGGCCAAAGCAGAGTTGGGATCACCTTGGGTGCTTCGCTGAAGTGCAAATCCCCGGGCCCCACCCGTCTTAACTAATCAGAATCCTGGTGGGGAGGAGGGTAATCTGTTCTTTGAAAAGCCTCCTGGTGACCCTCACAAGCAAAGTTGGATGCAAAATGTGAGGTCACCTTTGGGAGTGGAGTGTCCCCAGAGGGAGTGGTGAGGAGGGTGCCCTGCCCTGCCCATGGAGGGTCTTCACCTAGGGGCACTGCCTGGCAGGGATTCCCCCCCCACAGCTGGCAGGACTAGGGAGTTGAGGGACTCGGCCAGGGTGGGGTGAGGGGCTGGGGTCCTGGCTGGGCAGGAAAGAGAAGGCCGAGAGTCCAGCAGACTCAGAGAGCGTGGAACGGGGTCCTGTGTCTATACTTCCTGGCACTAGGGGCAGAGGGTGGCAGTGGTAGGGAGGGTGGAGGTGGCTCAGAGGTGTCAGAGCAGCAGTGGAGGGGGCATCCCGGGGTTAGGATGCAGCAGAAGCAGGCTGGGCCTCTTCCCGACAGTTCTCACTTCCTGGCTCCCAGCCGCGTAGAGGAGGTGCTCTCTGTGTCTGGCCTCTGGGCAGAGGACCTAGAGTGCCCCCCAGTCCCTCGCCCCCACAGGCAGGGTCCCTGGGCTTCAGGAAAAGCCCCATTCCTTTGGGTCATTCTACCTTGCCTTGAGTTTAGCCCCTGTCCCCATAAGTGGTCCAGAGAGAGGGAGGTAGCCAGGCTGGCCTGTTTCTTTAGGTTTTATTACATGAGGGGGTCAGACGTGGATGAGAAGCCCGTGCCCATCCTGGGAGGCCAAACGCAGGAGGGGCCCCTCGCTCAGCCCCGTCACACCCAGACCCTCCCCTAGTCAGAGGGGAGTGTCCCCTTCCCTATCACAAGTTCCTGAGTCGCTCCACTGCCCCTGCCTTGCCCCTTCTGCCCCCAGCCAGGCCAGGGCACTCTGCCAGTGATGCAGATGGCTGCGGGTAGGTGGGACAGCCAAAGTGAAGGCCAAGTCACCCACCCCTTCTCTGACAGGGCCAAACCCCGACACGCTTCACCCCCACCAGTCCCTGAATCTGCACTCACGAACCCGGCGTTCCGCCTGGGGCTTGGGCTGGGTCCGCCCCCTCCAGGGAGAGGTGAAAGGAGGGCGGCCCGAGACACTCCCCAGGGCTTCTAGGGGGCCTTGCTTCTCTTTGCACCCTAACCACAACCCTGTGATGTCGGGGGCGGGGAGGAGTCACCCCACTGGACGCCGAAGGCTCAAGGAGGTGATGTGACCGGGCAGGGGGGCAGTGCATCCGCCATGCAGCAGGGGTACCCGGGGGAGGGGACATGGGGGCCTGGGAGACACAGCTGGACAGTGCCACACTTTGGCCAGGGGCAGGTGGCTCTGCCCAGGGGTCCCAGGGCCCGCCTCAGGCCTTGAGCGGGCCCGGCGCGCCTCCCGCCCGTCCCCGGAGGCAGGGGCGCATCACAGCCCCACAGGCGCAGACAGAGGTGGCGGCGGGGAGAGCACTTCTTCCATCTCGGGCCGGGAGCCCACCCCGTGGAACAAAGATAAAGGATTTCAGATGGGAACCCCAAGTCCCTGGAGGTGATCTGGGGCCTCACATCCGGGTGCCTCTGGCTTGTAACAGCTAGAAGATAAGAGGGGCAGGGGAAGGGGCAGGAGGAGGGGAGAGGACGGGCGGTGAGGAGGGGTGATGCAGAGAGGAGATTGAAACGGGGGAGAGAGGGAGAGAGAAAGGCAGGTGAGTCACAGGCTCCTTCTGTGGGAGGGACGGCAGGCTGAGGCCCAGACAAGGCGGGTTCAGAACTGAGGAGGGGAGCAGGAGGGGTACCCCAACCCACCCATCCAGGAGCCCCAGGCCCCATCTTGGAATCTGCCCAGAGATGGCCAGATTCGGCCAAGATTCTGATCCAGGGGTCAGGGCCAGGAGCGGCAGGTCAGCACCACCCCAGGCAAAAGGAGGCACACAGGCCAGCTGTCTGTCCCCATTTCAGAGGCAACTGTGGCCAAGAGAGGGACAGTGACTTGCCCAAGGTCACACAGCAGGCAGATAAGGTAGAGTAGGGGCTTGTGGGCATCCGGCCAGAGCTTTTCTGCCCCACTGCAATCCTCAGCTGGCTCTGGCTGACTCCTCATAGGCCCAGGGCACACAAATGTGGCCGTCCTCCCTATCCCCACGGAACGAGGGAACTCAGTGCCACAGGCAGTGAGGCAGGAGCTCCTGGACGTGCAGGGAGGAGGCTAAGGCTTCTGGCTTCAGCTTTCCTTCCCTCCTCCCCAGCCTGGCCCCGTGCTGACTGGCTGGGGGCGGGAGGGCAGAGTTCCCACCCCTTAACTCTCTTCTCCTCTCAAAGCCTCGCCCCCAAGGCCAAGATCGGTTGCGAAACTTTAGCGGGTGGAGAAAATTAGCCGAAAGCTGGGCTCAAGTCCAAGGAACAAGAGATGAGCACCCTCCTCGCTTCCACCCCCCCTCTCCAGCTCCGCCAAGCTACAAACCAGGGGTGGCAGCTCTGGGGGCGGGCGAGGGGCCAAGGAGAAGCCCTCACTGCGAGCTCGGCCTCAGGTCTGAGAGGGTGCAGACGGGAACCTGCAAGGAGGAAACGTGAGGAGGCGGCGGGGCAGGACAGGGCAGGGCCTGCGTTGAGGCCCGGCCTCAGAGGTGCCCGGCAGGGTTGGTGGGCATACAGGAGGCGCAGCTGCACGCCCCCTCCCCAGGCTGGGAGGCAGGAGGTGCTGGAAGGGGCGCAGGAGGCGGCAGGCAAGATGCTCTGGGATACGGGGCTGGGGGGCCTGGGTGGAGGGCACAGGAGGCTGGGACCAGGGCAGCCCCGGGAGGGAGGCGTGAGCAGGCAGAGAGAAAACCCGGACAGGGGCAGAGAGGGAAGAGGCAGGGTGCAGATGAGATCCAGGAGGAAGAGGAGGTGGATGAAGATGAGGCAGGACCTCCAGCAGGAGGCGGAGGAGGCGGTGGTGGGAGGGAGGAAGGGTTAGCGGGATCCTGAGATGACTGGGCTGCAAAGAGAAAGTGAGAGAAGGGATGGTTATGCAGGTGAGGCCAGGCGAGTGGCTGAGCTAACCCTGGAGGGCCCGCCCCCCGCAGCCCCGGGGTCCCCTTCTGCAGCTGGCTCCAGCAGGGAGTGGGGAGGCTCCGGCTCTGATTAGCAATCATTCTCCTGGGGGTTGGCTGCACCTTTCTCCTGGGGATCTGCCTCCACCTGCACCTGTTCCACCTCCACCTCCTCCACCTCCTCCTGCTGCTGCTGCTCCTCCAGCTGCTCCTCCGCGCTCTGTGAACCAGCCGGCGGACCCAGGGAAGAAAGAGTGGAGACACTAACAAGGGGGCCAGGGCCTGCTGGCTGCTGTCCCCAAGGGTCCCAATCTCAGGCAAGATGAAGGGGACCTCAGGAGGGGAGAGGGCGCCAGCCAAAGAAGCTAGGGCATCTTCTCCAGCTCCCCAGGCAGCTGGGGGAGGGTGGGGAACCCAGCAGAGGATGGAGGATGGGCCCTGCGGGGATGCTCAGGGGGGCGGTCTGACTGCCGTTACAGAGGGAGGAGGGCTTGCGGGGGGGCGGGGCAGGCATGTGGCTGGGCCATCCTCGAGGGGCGCCTGAGGGGTGCCTGGGAGGGCCGTGTTTGGGAAGACTGACCCTGAGTAGAAATGTAGCCAAGGAAGCCCCAGGGCAGACACCACCAGATCGGGGACGCCAGCCACCATCTCTGGCACCCCAGGTCTGGGGGCTTAGGCCCAGAGAGGCAGAAGCAGTGGGCTCACCCTGCACCCTTGCAAGGCAGCGGCAGCCACTGGCACCAGTGTGGCGGGGTGGGCAGGGGAGTCACAGCAGGACAGGGAGGGAGGCAGGCAGACAGACAGACAGAAGCCAGAGTTCTTAAGTCTCCAGCGCACAGGGATAGGCCCCAGCAGGAACAGTCTTCCCCCCAACCTGGCTCACGCCTGCTCTGCTAGAACTGTCGGAGGCCCTGAGGGCATCTGACCAGCTCTGGGTCCAGGGTGGCAGGATCGCTGCTCAACCCCCTCCCCTCGTGGGCAGATGCTGCCAGACATGCTCTGGGGAAGCCGCCTGGTGCTCTGGGGAGGCTGCCTAGCAGGCCAGGGCGGCAACGCAGGGCCGGGCCCCACAGGGCTCCTGGCCACCGCCCTGCAGGGCGCCCAAGCAGGAGGCCTGGGAAAGGGGCGGGATTCACAGATCCAGCTTCCCCACAGCAGCTGGGGACACTCACCCACCCCAGGGAATAAATTGGCCATTTGGGATCCTGAAAGTTCCAAGCTTGGAGCCACCATAGAAAGTACACAGTCCACCCCTCTCACATCACAGAGAACACAACGAAGGTGCCAAAAGAGGACAAGCCTTGTCTAAGGTCACACAGAGGATGTCACACTGCCCCTCATGCCACGGCACCCGGTGGCCACCACGTGGCCCTCATTCAAGCGGCATCTGAGTCCGCCCTGGCCGCGCGCTCGGGATGGTCCCATCTCGTTGCTCCCCAGCCTGGGCCTGGGTACCGTGTGAGCAGACAGGACCGCAGCGGCATGGGATGGATGGCATCGGCTGTGACCATGGGGTTATGCGTGTGCAGCAGGAGGGAGAAGAAGGCGGCGGGATGGCGCGGGGGAGGCGGGGGTGGAGAGAGGGGGGAGCCTTCTGCAGACAAGGGCTGGGGTGGGTGAGGCTCACCTTGGTTTTGCGGCTGGACTCGGAGCTCAGCCCGTGTGGGGAGGTGTAGAGCTCCTTGGACACCACGCACAGGAACTCCGCCTGGTCCTCACTGCCGTAATTGTAGGAGGAGCCGATGTTGACCAGCTGGAGGGGCAGAGCGGGGGGAGAAGGCGCGGGTTGGGGTGGGGGCAGTGGGGCAGGGTGAGGTGGACCTCGGCACCCGTCAAGATACCAGCTTATGTCCTGACCTTGCCGCCTGCTCAGGCCCCTTCCTGGGTTTGCAAAGTCTTGTCCCCTCCCATCTGCGCCTCTGGTCTGTTCCCCGGGACCAGCCTCTCCACCTGGCTTGGCTCGCCGAGCCCTGGAAAGGGGTGGCAGCATCACCACCATCCCAGCCTAGCCGCAGATCCAGGCGGCCCCTTTCCAAACACAGGCGGAGGCCCGTCACGGGCAGGCTGGCCCCTGTCCCAGATGTGGCTGGTGCAGCCCCAGGACAAGGTTGCAGGGTACGCTGGCATGGTGGAGCCCCACAGAATATTCCCTTCACTCTTGAAAGCAGAGGTAGAACGGGGTGCCATTCCTCATGCTAGCGGGCAAATGCCCAGAGGCCCCTGACCTGCTCAATCTGGAGCCTGTCCAACTGCCAGAGACTCCCGCAGGCTCTCAGAGTGGCCCCGGCTTTGTTCTGGGGTCCTTAGAATAACCACACCCACAGGGCCCTTCTGGCTAATAAAGTCCTTGCACAGGACAGGTCTCATTCAGCCCTCAGAGACCCTCACTCTGCAGGCAAAAGGATGTCACCCACTTAGGCAGAAAAGGCTTGGAGAGCTGGTGGCCTGCTGGAGGTCCCCAGCAGGGGAGGGATGGAACATGGATTGAATATGGGATCCCAAGTCCCTTCTGAGACTCTCACAGACTTAACTACAGCACTTCTGCTAATCTGCATGGCACGAGGGCCAAGGCAGGGAGTCCCACCCAGGGCTAGCAACTTTACTGATGGCCTTTCTAATCTCTGAAGCAGTCCCGCCTGCAAAGGAGATGCTATTAGCTCACGTCACAGATGAGGACACTGAGGCCCAGAGAGGAGACGAGACTTGCGCAAGGTGGCGAGCCTGTCAGCGTGAGGCCTCGAGGCGAATCTAGCCTGCGGCTCCTGCCCTAGGCTCGATCGTCACACACCAGGCCACCCTGGGGGGCCCGGCCTTCTGCCTGCTTCAGTCTCCACTGCAGGAGCGTGTGGGCGGCTGTGGATCAGAGGCTGCCAACCTTCCTCCTCCTCTAAGGGCACATCTGACTCCAAGGTCACTTTCTGGCTCTGCTCCTCTGGAAGCGCGCGAGGCGACACTTCGGCTGTACTGCCAGGGCCACGCTGCTCACCATAAAAATCTCCCGATTGGTAAACTGCATCTGGACTGGGAGGAACCCAGGGCGCACAAGTACCGCATGGGAGGCCACTGCTTTGGGCTTCCCTGAATGTGGCAATGCTCTTAGTTGGGCATGTCCCTCGTGGGGACCCTGGAAGCTATGCCTAAGCAATTGTGACAATCATACGGTGTTGACTCGAGAGTTACAAGACATGTGGACTCAAAGTGGACTCCACTCACCCTGTGGATCTGGTCTCCTTGCACCTGAGCTGTCGCTTGGCATCATGAGACTTGCCCACACTACCATGTAGATCACCACCCAGCTGCTGAGAGGACTTCCACCCTCAAGGACCCTGGCGCTGTGCTGTGGCAAGTGGGGCTCCTGTCCTCTCCCCGCTTGGTCAATCTGTTGCCATGTGGTCTTTCCTAACCTCGTTTCGTTTGACTTAAGAAGACCCCAGGTGGGGACTGTGGCAGGGAACCCAAGGCCAGGGCTGTAGGAAGGGAGGGGCCTGCTGTATCGGGAAACTGGGAGGTACCAGGGTGAGCCCTGGGGTGGCCTGTGTCCCCAGCCCACCTGCTCGAAGCGCCAGCCGTCAGACATCGTGGAGACCATCTGTGTGAGCTCCTCCTCCTGGCACTGCAGCACGCGGTACACATGCTTGGGCGGGACCTATGGACAGAAGGGCCACGTGGAGGGCACCTGTGGGAGTACTGGGCACCCCAGGGGGGATAAGCACCTGCCGCCACCCCCAGTAATATACCTTAAGAAGGAGAGAAAGAGAGGGAGCAGGCCGGGGAGAGAACCATGTCCTGAGCACCTACTATGTACTTGGCACTCAACACGCATGACCTCACTTAACCCTTCCAAAAGCTCTGCGGATTATGGGGCTTTTTGCTGGGGTTGAGTTTCTTGCCCAAAGTCACCCAGCTCAAGGGTGGCAGAGCCAGAACTGGAACACAGGTGATATAAGAGGAAGGATGGTGGGGCTTGGGGTACATTCTGGGTTGCCAATCTAGTCAGGCCCTCCAAGAGACACAGGGCCGGGAGATGGCGCCTCACTACTTGTCCCCCAAACCCCACCTCTCCTCCAGGTGGGCAGAGAATCTCTCCACCTCCTCCTGCAGACGGATCACCGAGGCCCAGGGTCCAAGCTCAGAAATGCCAGCCCCAATAGCTTGTGCTGTGCCCAGGAGGGGACCGCCCGATCCCACAAAATGCACAATTTACTCATACCCTGCAGGGCCCCCGAACCCCCACACTGACCCCTGTGAGGAAGGGATGACAGCTCTCAGGACCTCTATATCCCACAAGAGGAAATCAGGGTTCAGAGAGGGGCGTGCCTGGCCCAAGGTCACACAGCAAGGCAGGCACAGAACCCCAGCACGTCTCCCAGTCTGGGCAGTCTGGGGCGCCAATAACCATCTCTCTCCTTACAGGCCAGTTCAGCCTCCCCACCCCCTCCTGCCTCCTGCCCTCCCTCCCAGCCTCCCTCTCCCCACCTGCCCCTGCGTCCCACCTGGGTGACTGTGTAGTCCTTCTCTTCCATCCGGTCTTTGATGATGCGGATCAGCGGGCCAATGTTGTAGAACTCCGCTTCCTCCAGGACTCCTGGCAACGACAGAGCAGCCCCCAGGTCATTCCTACTGTCCCTGAGCCCCACTGTCCCCTATGCCCCCAAACCCACCTCCTGCTCCAGCCACACCTGAGAGGTGAGCTGAGCATTTGTGAGTTCAGGGGTCAGACAAGTGGGAGCCCTTCTGCCCTTGGAGCCCACACTCCCTGTGGAAGGGGCTCAGCCAGCCCTGCGTCCCTCCCACTGTGCTGTGCATGGGAACACAGGGGCACCTGCCAGTCCACAATCTGGCCTGCTCTACCGTTACCAAGAGACAGCAGGCTCCCTGGGACTGATCCCTAGAATGTCACCATGAGGAGGGCCTTGGCTGACCCCTGAGTGCCTGCCCCCACTGATCAAACACATGCTGAGCGCCAGGCACCGTGGTAGGCACATTCCACTCTTGACAGCATTTAATTCTCAGAACCAGAAGTTGGTACTTTCATCCTCTGCATTGAACAACTGAGGAAACTGAGGCTTTAACAGAGAAGCAGCTTGTCCAAGGTCACACAGCCAGTAAGTGGCACAGTAAGTTCAAGCTCCTCAACTACGGAGCCCGGGTTTTCCCACCAGAAATGCACGATCTCTGTGCATGTGCATTGCCCAGCTGCAGCATTTCACAGTCTGCAAAGCCCCCGTGCGCCCATCACAAGTCCTGGGGACATGAGGAAAGCAGGTATTACTGTCCCCATTTACAACTGAATGGACCTGAGAGATTAAGCAAGTCACCCCACCAGCGAAGTGGAAGGAGCTCCCAGGTGCTCAGACTCCCCTAAGCTCTACAGGGCAGGGAACCTTCCGGCCCTTTCCTTGACGGGCCTCTGGGCTCTGGGGACAGGGCCTTTTATGGACTGAATGACTGTGTACCCCAAAGTTTATAAGCTGAAAGCTAATCCCCAGTGTGATGGTATTAGGAGGGAAGGGGGGGCCTTTGGGAGGTGATTAGGACACAAGGGTGGAGTCCCCATGATGGGATTAGTGTCCTTTTAATAAGAGGCTAGAGAGCTAGCGCTCTTTCTGCCACGAGGATACGAAGAGAAGTCAGCAGTTTGCAACCTGGAAGAAGGCCCTCTCCAGAGCCCTACATGCCGGTACTCTGCTCTTGGACTTCCAGCCTCTAGAACTTTGAGAAATAAATTTCTGTTGCTCATAAGCCTGCAGTCCCCAGGCCTCGGACTGGTACCAGTCTGTGGCCTGTTGGAACCGGGTTGCACAGCAGATGAGCGCAGGTGAGCGAGCAAAGCGTCATCTGTATTTATAGCCGCTACATGAGCCACATACTGCCCTGGTGCTGCCCTTTTATCCTTACGACAGCTCAGCGAGGTGGGTGCTGTTGTCACCCTATTTCACAAATGGGGGCATGGAGGCACAGAAGGGTTAGGTAACTTTCCCAATGTCGCACAGCTAGTAAGTCTCCCCCAAGATCCCCTATGGGGGCCATAGCCCTGTCTGAAGGTGCTGGGAGTAGCAGGGCTTTCTGAAACCCAGACCCTGTAAACAAGCGTTGGCTGTGACGCAGCCGGAGTATTTACCTCCCCTCCTCGTGGGACGTGCTCCTGAGCCCAGGCCACGCCCATGGCATCTGTGCTCCCCTGGGGCTTCTGTGGGAAGCTGCAGGGCTCTGCAGAGCCAGGTACCCACGGTAGGCTCTGATGCTGAAGCCCTGACCTACTGAGTTGCGTGCCCTCCCGACCACTGTATCCCACAGTGGTGAGGGAGGGGAGACCACGACCCAGAGTGGGGAGGCATGGGCTGTGCTCCACACACAGGCGCACGGGCCGGGCACAGGACTCACGACGTCTGTGGTCCCAAAGCATGCTCTCTAAGATGCAGATCACCACCCCCGTTTTATAGACATGATGGGAGATGCTGAGAGGAGAAGTGACATGTACGAGCTGGCCTGGCTGGGTTAGCTGACCCAGAGCCATATCCTACGCCCCAAGGAAGAGTTAACTTGGCACTGACTATCGTCCCCGTCCTTGGCTGGGGCTCTGCTAAGCGGTCATTCCCCCAGACACAGCTTCCCCACCGTCCACTAGGCCCAGATGTGGACATCTTTCTACAGGGCCTTAGATACCCAGGTCTGGGAAGGCCCAGAGCCCTGCTGGGGAGCAGACTCCCCCCACCGCCCCCCACCGCCCCCTACAACCAGCACTGTGCTGCAGAGCTGCCAGCCTCAGGGAAGAGTCACCGCCCCACCCACTTGCTGACTGCAAGTCCTCACCAGGCAGAATCTGAGATACTGGATCACCAGAGAAAGAGAGTGATAGCACTTCCCACGCCTATCTCCACCTCATTCTCCTGAGCCCAGCCTCTGGGTGTGACTGTCCACACCTGGCTTCCTAGGAGGCCAGGGAGAAAGGGTAGCCCTGCCCATGACAGAGGCCGCAGGGTCCCACTGGCTCCCTCTGTCCTCTGTGTCTCCATCACCTCCCCAGCAGCACCCAGTGAAAGCTCAGGCCTGTCAGCTTGGCGGAACCCCCAGGCTCAGCCCAGGCAGAGGCTTTGGGATGCGGCCCTGTCTGGGAGGGGAAGAGGCAGGAAACATGGGAGAAAGCAGATGTCTGTCCTGGCTGGGAGAAATGGCTTTGGGCTGCCACAGAAGGCCCTGGCAGGGCTAGCATGTGGGCCCCAGGCCAGCCCCCTGGAGCAACTCACCCTCCTCAGCCATGTCCTTGTCCAGCACCAGCTTGCCATGACGGAGGAAGTTCAGGATGGGCCCAAAGTAGGTGGGGTCACGGTCAATGAGGTAGGCCCCGGTCTCATCCTACGGAGGTAAGGGACAGGCAGTGAGAGAAGAGTGAGGCCTCTCCCCTGCCCAACCTGGCTCATATGCCCTCACCACAAGCCCGGGAAAGGACTGCAGGGAGGGAAGGAGGGACAGTCCCGTCTGCTCTTTCCTGAAACAAAGAGGAAATGATGGGAAAAAAGGCTCTGGGGCAGATAGACCTGTGTTCAAACCCTGCCTCTGCCCTTTCCTGACTGCGTGATCCTGGGCCAATGGTTTGGCCTCTCTGAGCCTCTCTCCTCTCCCCCATAATAAGAGGTCACTGTGAGCACCCAGTGAGAGGAGGTCTGAGTGGCACCCAGCCCAGCGCCAGGCTCAGTGAATGTCCCTGCTAGAGGCTGTCCCCCTGAAGCCAGCCCCCCTACCTCCACCAAATCCCTAGACTTACAGGGCATGTTTACAAGTTTGCAAAGGAGCCACTATCTCATTGGACACTTGCAGCCTGCAGGAAGGCAGGGCGGGCACCAGTACAACTCTACAGAGAGAACGGAGGCACCAGGAGGTGAAGGGGACTTGCCCAAGGTCAGCGTATCAGACGATCAAGGGATACAGGGGACGGAGGACCTTAGAGGTCAACTCCAGACCAGGTTACAGACGAGGAGGCTGAGCCCAGAGCAGGGAAAGGTCTGACCCAAGGTCATACAGTTTGCTGCAGTCAGGAAGGGAGCCCAGAAACGGTGTCCTACCGGCCGGTGCCCCTCCCAAAGTAAGTCCAGCTCAAAGGCACCCCAGGACTCCTCCACCCAGCACCCGGCACCCCTGGGACCCCCTCACCCCAAAGGGCAGGGAAAAGCAGGCTCATCAGCTCCTTCCCTTTGGGGAGGAGAGAAGGCTCTACATGTCTGTCCCTCCCCACGGCCCCGAAAGAGGGGGAGAGGCCCCACAGGGGCCGCGCTCAAAAGCTCCAAATGGCCACGGCCTGCGTTGTCCCGTTGCCACGGCAATGGGCACATCCCGCACTCTCAGACCCACTTCCCCTCCCTTCCTCCTGCCAGTCCTTCCCGCCTCCAGCTCCTCCGAAGCCACCCAGAGGGGTCCCCAGCCCGGCGGGCGGGCCAGGCCGAGCAGCCCCGAGCTGGCGAGCGGAGGACCCCGGCCCGACCGCCGCCCACCCCGCGGGCCTCACCCGGTCCGACTGCAGCTCTTCCCCCTGGCACAGGCGGCTGAGGAAGGACTTCTGCTCGCGGCACAGCGTCTGCCGGGTGGTCAGAAACACCGTGCCCCCCACGTTGAGCCGCACCCACTTGCCCCAGCCGCCCGCGGCGCGGCCCCCCGCCCCCGCCGGCGCTGCCTCCCCGGCCTCCATCCTCCTCGCCCGCCGGCGTCTGCATCCTCCGCCCGGCGCGGGGGCGGGCGGGTGCCGCGCGGGGCACGCCGGGAGCTGTAGTCCGCGCGGGCTCGGCGCCGCCGCGGGGTCCCCCGCCCGCCCCACGCGCGCCCCGCTCTGCGGCGCCCGGCAGGCCCGCACCCCGGGGCTGTTGGCCATGCCCCTGTGTTCGGGGAAGACCAGGGTCCCCACACGGGGAGAACAGCGAGTGACACCCCCCCCTTGCCCTCCGCATTCTGGCTTTGCCTTTGTGCAGTCTGGTTATCAAACAGCCCACACGGGAAGAAACTTCTCCCTCCTGAAGTTCCCACGGCATGTGCCTGTATCTGTTTTCTATTGTCATTCCGCCCTTTCTGTGTGGGGGTGTGGGTGTGAGTGGGTTCTCTCCCACCGCATGAGTTCTTTGGGGACAGCAGTTGGACTTAAGTTTAGCTGAGCACCTTCTACGTGCCAGATGCTTTGTGTATGTGTATTATTCGTTTAAGCTCTCAGCAACCCTGTGAGGCTGGTATTACTGTACCCATTTTACAGATCAGGCCACAGAAGTGAAGTGACCACCGACTCACACAGCCAGTGAGTGGCAGGCCAGCCGAAGCCAGGTGGGTTCCCAGGTGCATTGCCACCACCAACACCTCTTTCCTGCTCCCCCACTGTGGGTTATCTGGGATCCTTGGGAAAGACTTTAAGGGAGGAAGAGTAGACAGGGCACTAGATCAAGTCAGGAGAACTGCGTTTTTGTAGGGTGAGTTGCTGGGAGAGGTCTGTTTTTCCACCTATGAATCAGAATCCCACCTCCACCTCCCGACAGTGGAGGTGAATGGGACAAAAGAACAAATACACTGGGACTGTCTTTAGGACGGGGATCAGGTCTTCTTCTTCCACGCTGTACTTCCATTTTATTTAATGTCTTATTTAACTGCTTTCTGCTTTCCATGTGCTGGGAGGAGGGATTGGTTCTGTGGGTCTCCTTCTGAGTTATTCCCCAGGTAACTTGGAGGTGGGAATGACGACCTACAACCTGCGACCTGAGTACTGCAGGATAGAGGAGGGGCAGTTACTTGTGTGGTCTGGGACCAGGGAGGGGTGAGGGCTGAAGGGGAAGCTGTTCTCCTTCTTACTGTTCCAGTCCTGGTCCTGGCTTTCCTCATTGATCCAGTGTCACACGCATTGATGCTGAACACTGGGCAGCCTGGCCCTGTGCTGGGGGAAGGTTCCACCCAAGGCCCTGCTTTCTCCATAAAGCCTTTCCTCTTGGCAGGGAGTGAGTCAAAGACCTGCTAGGATCCCGCTCCTAGGAACTCCCCAGTGTGTTCTTGAGCAACTTCCTCTCTGAGTCTCAGTTTCCTGTCTTGCAAAATGGGAGTTATAATACTTGTGACCCTGAGCATTGTTTATATTAAATCATACAATGTCTGTAAGCATCTAGCATAGTCCCTGGCAGTTAGCACATTGAACGAATGGATGAAGGCATGAATGAGGTGGGATGTGAACTGGCCCTGAAGGATCGGCAGCACTCCTGGTACTTAGTGAGCCCTTGACCGTTGTTAGCGAAAGCAAAACTGGAGCAGGAGATACTTCTTTATCCACTTAAGGGCTGTAGGCAGGGGAGTGACATGGCCAGATTTGCAACTTGGACCACGCCTTGGGTTGCAGGGAGGATGCTTTGGAGCTTGAAGAGACCAGTTAGGAGGCCACCTGTGTCTGCGTCAGGAGTGAGGGAAGCCCAAACCAAGGCAGTGTCAACAGGACCAGACAGGAGCAGGTGGATTCAAGGGACACGTAGGAGGTGGAATTGAAGGACTGAGGTTCACGGGGCTATGGGAGAGGGAGAAGGAGGGGTCAGGCTGACACCCTAGTTCCTGGTGGAACCAAGTCAACGGTGGTTGTGAGAGGCAGAGGCAGACTGGGGGAGCGAGCAGGGGGATGAAGAGCTCAGTTTGAGGGCAACCTATCTTTGCAGTGCCTGTGGGGAAAGCGACAATTGTCCCTCCCGACGTGATCTCAGAAGGGCAACGTGGGCTGGAGAGAACAGATGGAGCTGTTCTCAGCCTTGGGAGGGGAGGAGACCCCCCAAAGAGGACATGAAAAGTGTTGGAGAAAGGGGCCTGGGAAGGGTCTCAGGAGATGGGGAGAGGGGAGGGTGGGTCAAGTGGGGGCAGAGGAAAGGGCAAAGCCGGAGTGGGAGGAACAAGAGTGTTCCAGAGGCCAAGTGTGGGCCACTTTGAATGAAATGGGAGTTTACCTGAGGAGTGAAAGTCGGGAAGGCGAAGTTCAGCATCCTAGAGCTGTAGGACCCAGGCTTGCCTGGCCCAACCTGCTCCTGCAAATGTGACTGAACTGGGGCCTAGAGGCACAGAGTAACTTCCATGGGGTTGCTCAGCCAGATGGGGGCAGATGTGGAATGGCCCCCACTGTTCCTGGGCCAGCCCTCGCCCACCTGGGGCTGCCTCGCCCCAGTGAGGAATGCGGGCCCTGCAGCAGGCCTTGGACAGTGCTGAGTTGTTAAGCACAGGAGGAATGTTGTGAATGTAGCATCTTGGGCAGCTTGATCTGGCACAGGTGTACAAGGGGGCAATAGGCGTGGGGAGATCCCGGGGGCAGGGAGGACACAATGGGGAGGGGAGGGTAAGAGCCGACATTCATGTTGTTGGGGACCTGCCCAGAGCCCCCCTCCTTCCCACAGCACCATTTTCTCACCTGTTTCCCTACAGTTAAATCCTTGAGGACAGACACCATCCCTGTGCTGCCCGTTGTCATACTGCAGGTGTCAGAGGTGTCAAACACTGGGCCCGACAGCGGAGGTGAATGGGACAAAAGAACAAATACACTGGGACTGTCTTTAGGACAGGGATCAGGTCTTCTTCCTCCACGCTGTACTTCCATTTTATTTAACGTCTTATTTAACTGCTTTCTGCTTTCCATGTGCTGGACACGGTTCTCAGTGCATCACCGCACGTACCACGTGTGTTCAACGAAGGCAAGTTTGCCATCTACCGTGTGCCAAAGACATTCTGTAACAGCACCACCCCGAGCAGCAGCTGTCGTTTACTGAGGGTTTGTTCTGGACCAGCTAGTACTCTTGAATTATCTCTTGTAATTCTCACAACAACCCCAGGAGATCCATCTTGTTCCCACCCCCATCTTACGGATGGTGAGACCAAGGCTCAGAGATTGTGGGCCCTTCCTAGGTCGTGCTGGACATGGCTACCAAGAGCAGAGCCGGCCTCAGTGCCTGGTCTCATTGACTCCAAAGCCAAAGCCAATAGCCATTCTGCTCCCGCGCCTCCCATGGAATCCCACAGCGCCCTTGTCGCAGGTGTTCTTAACGCCATGTTATGGATGAGGAAACCGTAGTTCTAGGGCTGGTCCAACGCAGGCCCATCTGAACCCAGCACAGGGCTGGTCATCGTCCTGCTGGAGCTGCATTGGCTACAGCCCTGGAGGTATCAGGTGGAGGCTGGCTGGCACTTTTGGTCCCAGAGTGGAGGGAAAGGCTTTGGCTGAGCCAGTCTCGCTCCCCCTGTTTCTGCAGAGACAGAGACCCCCCTGCCGCCCGCAACCTATCCCTGGACACAGCACTCCCCTCAGCAAGCACCTAAAATGCTCCCACCTGGAGCAACAACCTCACGGAGGAGGGACACAGCCAAGAACCAGGGGCAAGACCCAAGGCCCTTAAATAGAGCCAACAGATCCCTGCCTGTGCCTGGGCTTTGGGCATGGCATGTTTGGGTGGAAAAGCCGGGGATTGGGAGGGGGTGTGCCCATCTCTGCAGAGGACTTTCGACTCCTCCCTCCACCAACCCAGTATTCAGGTCACCCCTGTGTTTGTTCAGCACCAACTGGATGGCAGAGATGAGGATGTCAGAGGTGGTCTCTGCCCTAGAGGAGGCTTTGGGTTTGGAGAGGTGGGCCTGAGAGGCTTGGACAAAACATGGACTCCCAGATAGCCCTGTCTGTAATCAAAGACTGTCACTCTTCATATTTTTTGGCATGTCCTCTCCATTTAGAGGACAATGTTAAAAACCAAACATTCCTCAGATGTTTTGGGGGATGGTGGTTAAGCTGGAGGATGACCAGACTTCAAATTCCTGCTGGTTACACTGCTCCCTGCTGTCCACTTCTGGGAAGAGCAGCCTGGTACTTTGTAATACGGCTCTGGATTCGGCTTGAAAGGGAGACAGGACCGGGCGGTCAAGGGTACAGGCTCCCAGACAAGGACGGCAGCCCAGGCTTTGTGACTTGCTAGGTGTGACCTTGAGAGAGTCCCTTAACCTCTGTGAACCTCGGTCTCCCCATCTCTAAATTGGAAATAATAATAGTGCCTACCTCATGCTAACCTGTGAAGGGCACTTTCCACACCACCCGTGCAGAGACCAGTGAACGTGGGATTTTGTGCAGCCCGTCCTGCCACCCTGTCTGTCATTGTCTGGAACCAAGATCGGTGCCCGAGACAAAGGCTGCCCCTTGAGATCCATTTCCCATTGGTCAGGGTTGAACCAACCTCACCATCTCCTCCCTAGTGGGGCTGGAGGCAGGGAGAGGGCCACCCCAGATGGCCCAGACTCCAGAGCAGAGTGGCTGTCATCCCCTCCTGCTAAATCCCTAGTCACCTAGAGTGACCCAGAGTCTCTCTGCTGCAGATAGAGCTGAAGTCGCACAAAACACATCCTGAAGTTCTCACCTGAGTCCTGCCTTGAACCTCCTCACTTTAGCAGCCTCGTGCCCGCCCCCGACTGGCTTGTTTCACCTCTGCTGTCAGTTCCTTGACGCCCTTCAGCCCTGCTGGGGTGTTTGGATTCAGTTCTCCTCTTCCCCAGGTTCAGCATGTCAGAACATTCTGATTAGCCTCAACTTTGCTCTTTCTATCAAATCCGATCTTGTAATTGCCTGGGAACCAATTCTGCTACCTATCCTTGGTGTGGGTGTTGGTTTTGAGCCTGTACCTTTTCAAGTCACCTTAGGAGAGAGACAGCCACATCCAATCAGAGAGCATGCATCCCGA